GTGGTGAGTTGTCCTGGAGTGAGTTGTCCTATAGCAAGTTGGCCATGGTGAGTTGGTTGTGGTGAATTGGTCTTGGCGAGTTGTCCTGCAGAGAGTTGGCTGTGGTGAGCTGGTTGTGGCAAGATGGCCATGGTGATCTGGTCCATTCTGTCAGCGGCTTTGCCATGGAGCTTCCCTCTTAAGACCACAAGTGAGAAGTTTAGATCAAGATCGGTTGTGTGAAAGATGGAGGGATGGGATGTACCCAATTTCTCCCAAACAGAATCGGTTCTGATCAAGTTTATGTCTTCAAATTTGGTTTGCTAGTCCTTGACCTCCAACAGTTCATTTAGTGACCATTCAAAGTTACAATGGCACTGAAAAAAGGGACTTCTGATCATTTTTCACACTTACGTTGCAACATCCCTACGGTCCCATGATCAAAATTCAGGTGCTTGGCAACTGACTCATAGTTATGACGGTTGCAATGTCCTGGGGTCATGCAATCCCCTTTTGCGACTTTCTGACAAGCAAAGTCAGTGGGGAGGGAAAACCAGATTCACAGCTGTGGTTTCACTTAATCATTTCATTGTATGCATACTGTGTATATACATACAATGACAATAAAAAATTCAATTCAGTTATCAACTGCAGCGAGAAAGGTGGTAAAATGGGGCAAAAATTCACTCGACAAATGTCTCGCTCAGCAACAGGAATTTCGGGCTCCATTCTGGTTGTAAGGCGAGGTGTTTAGGACAAGGTGATGAAATATTAGCAGAAATAAATAAACAAAGCAGAAACTTTGGAGTGCCCGTTCCTGGTTGGCAGAGGAACCCGGTAGATCAGGTAACCTGGAGTAAAGCAATCAGAGTTTTACTAAAGAGGCCGATTAAGTGAGCTCCTCACTGCGAATTGAATGGAGATTAAAAGGAGAAGTTTGTTTGATGATGGTTCTGCCTTGAGGGCTGAGAATCGCACGGCTAATGTCACTCCGCCTTCTAATGCAGGGGTCAGCCGGCAGGCCAGATTTCGCCCGCGGGATGCTTAGTTCTGGCCTGCGGGATTGCCCTGGAAACAGCAAAGGACTGGCCCTCCCAAGGTATGTTTTCTCTGGCAGAGGGTTGCAGGAGGCCGGAGCAGCTGAAAACTGAGCTTGGGAGACCATTGTTGCAGGAGGCCGCTGCAGTCGAAAACTGAGCTTGGGAGCCCATTTTCGCTGGCAGAGCACTAAGGCCAACACAGGCACACACCCCCCTCCCGATATGAGTGATGTCAAGCTGGCCACGCCCACTCTGGCCACACCCTCCCACCTGAGGTCAAACACAGCCCTGATGTGGCCCTCAATGAAATCGAGTTTGACACCCCTGTCCTAGTGGGTCAAGAGATGGGAGGCCTTGCTTGATAAGCTTCAGGGTAGGTTTCCCAACAAGAGTGCAGAGTAGAGCAGCTAAGATGACTGAGGGCCTGGAGACTTAAACATACGAATGGTTGCAGGATTTGGGTTTGGCCAGTCTAGAAAGAAGGACTTAGAGGGAGACATGATAGCAGTATTTCAGTATTTAAGGGGCTGCCCCAAAGAAGAAGGGGTCCACTTACTTTCCAAAGCAACAGAAGGGCAAAACGAGAAACAGTGGTTGGAAACTAATCAAAGAGAGAAGCAACCTGGAATTAAGGAGAAACTTCGTAGCAGTGAGAACAGTTAACCAGTGGAACAGCTTGCCACCAGAAGTGGGCGGGCACTCCAACGCTAGAGGTTTTTAAGAGGAGATTGGACAGTCGGTTGTCTGGAATGATGCAGGGTCTCCTGCTTGAGCGCAGGCAGGAGGGAGGTTGGATTAGAAGACCTCCAACTTTATTTTTTTATTATTTTTTTTTGAAACAAATTTTATTAATTTTTAAAAGACAAACAAAATATTATTAAACCTTGTAGACATTAAACCTCTTTCCATTACAAATTTTTACAAGGCAAATAAAACATTGTTTTATACAATACGATTCTAATATATCCCATTTCCACTTAAATATCTTTTAGCAAATCTCTCATTACTTCTCTTTACACTTAGTCATCCTATTCATATTTCCCTCTGTCTTGTTTGCAATTATTCTCCTCTCGCTTTCCTCCATTAAATCTCAAGTAAACATACACACACAAAACACAAAAAATAAAACTTCTTTTTCAAAAAAGTAGCTTGGCCCCGGATTACCTCTCTTTGTATGGACTTCAATTAAATTCATGTTCATCTTATATGTCATTACCTATCTTGTTTACCATTCTATATCTTCATTATAACTTCTCCCCGCTTTCTACTCTTCTTAATTCTATTTTATTTATTACACTTTAGTTTAAATCATTATATTTGTATCTTTTGTCCATTCTTTTCCAATTATCTATTTATCTCATTCCCTATAGTAAGAAAAGAAAAAAAGATTTCTCCTGAAATCACTTATCGAAGTATGATGCCTTTCCATCGCACCCCTAAATTAACATTTAAGGTAACACCTAGTTCCCTATCTGATTCTGCTTAGTACATACTACTTAGAGAAAGAAAATAATAAATCCACAAAGTAATTAAATATATAGTTAAACATTAAATCACATAACATTCCAATTATCTATCTCAAAAACAAATACTACAATAATATATTCATACTAACATCCACACAATAGTCAATTGAACTCTATACTTAAACTAAATATTTTAAACATCCCTTTTAATATTTTATTAAGTTATTAAACCTTTAATGTTTTAATCTTTACTCAAGTCTTATAAGATTCTAATTTTCTATTTCTAATACAGATACTACAATACTATATTGTGTACCTTGCAGAATCCTAAAACAAAGTTATATTACCCTTTATCCCTAAAAAGAAATTTCTTTTGCACATCTTGTTTCATACCTTTATGGCTTTCCCCCCCCCTTCTTCCTCCCTATCTTATCCCATCTGGTCTTTTTACCCCCCTTAACTTCCCCTCTCTGTTGTATTTTTCTTTTCTTTTTTTTTTAAAACAAGTTTTATTAATTTTCAAAACACACAAATCATCATTATCCATTACATGTTTAAACCTTTTTCCAGTATTTCTCTTTTCTTTTGCTTTCTAACATTGTATTGATTTTGCATCTTATTTTTCATTTTCTTGGATGTTTTTTTAAGTCTTGTGTCCTTTTTCCTTCCTCTCTTTCTCCTTCCTTTCTTAATCAACTTTGTAGATTCATTAAAGATGGCTTCTTCTTCTTCTGCTTCCTCCATCAATTGTTGTGTTTTCTGATAAGTAGCAAGCGCCATTTCTAAAAAGCGAAAAATTTCTCTCACAGTGTCTTTTCCTTCTTTCTTTATTTTGCCATATTCCTCTCTCAGTTCATCAACAGATAAAGTCATTATAAATCTTTTTTTTTCTTCCTTTTTCCCTTCTTTTTCTTCTTAAAACAACCAAGATAATTCAAGGCTTAAAACAATTCCCAAAGTTCCAAAGTCATCAAACAGTCCAAACAGAGCACAAAATTCTTCCCTTCACACTTTTTCTTCCTGGGGTAATATCAATTGGCAAGGGAAAAAAAACCCCAATCTGTATTTTAAAGTCTTATTGCAATTAACTTCCAATCTCAAAATCTTCCAGGCATCTCCTCCAACAAAATCTTAATAAAAATTTTCCTTTTGTCCTCTCCCTTCCCACTTATAACAGAAAGCTTTAAATTTTTACCTTCTGTAAAATAGCAGGATTTTCAATATCCATTTGTTAAATCCATGTGGAAGGAGAGTAAACTTTCTCTTTAAGCACTTTCACTCACCGCTTGTAAATCTCTTCTGGAAACAAAGTATCTTTCAAAAAATCAGGATTTTCAGGATATTACTTGTATCTTATAGTCCCAGTTCAGCCAAAAAACTTTCGCTTCAGAACTTTCTCCTTCTTCCTCCAGCACAATCTTATCCAGCTGCCAGCTTCTTTGTGGCGGCCATTGCTGACCGCCGCTCCACCGCCTTAAGAAAAGAGGGTTAAGCCGGGTGGGGAAGGGGTCTGCGAAAACCCCAACCCCCTGTCCGGATCCCTCCTATCTTCGGCTGCCTCTACGGGGCAACCTTAGCCTCCAAACCCGTCCGGATCGGAGGCACCAAGACGGCTAGCGCAACAGGGATCGCGCAGGATCGCGAATCCCTGCCGCTGCCGAAGCCGACAAACCGGAAGCCAACTTTATTGTATAAGAAATTCTGTAAGTGGAAAATGAGTTCAGGATTTAGAGACCGTCTTTAATCTCATCACATCTCTTTCGTTTGTAGGCCCTGATGCTCGAAAACCTCCAGAAGCATTCAACCCCACATACCACCTTCCAACCCAATTCCCAGGTAAGGTGTGCCAGCCCATCCTTTGTCTGTGGTTTACCTACTTCCCTTTTTTCCCCCTCCCTTTTCTTTTCCAGTTGACATGGAAATGAATTCTAGGCCTCCTTGTGGTCCCAAATAGAAGATTTAATTACCAGTTATCTCCCTCCTTCTGTGGCTTCTGTGCCTGAGTAGTGTGTCAGACCTTACTCTAGATCTGTTCTCCAAATTTGGCAACTGTAGGACTTATGGAATTCAACTCCCATAATTCCACAGCATGGCTGGCTGAGGAATTCTGGGAGCCAAAGTGCACAAGTCTGAAAAGTTGCCAGGTTTGGAGACCCCTGCTCCAGGTCGGTATTTCCCAACCGTAATCATTTTTTTAAGTTGTGTGGGGTCCTTGGCGTTCTCTGAGCTTGGATGCTTTCTTGCAGACGTTTCATGACCCAACTAGGTAACATCATCAGTGCTAGAAGGGAGTGGGGTTTGGGGAGAGCGGGGAGGGAAGGAGGATGACTGTCGGGTTCTTGGTGCTCTCTGAGCTGAGTTGCTTTCTTGCAGACGTTTCATTACCTGACTAGATTACATCGTCAGTGGTAGAAGGGAGTGGAGATTGCTCTGTTTATATGCAAGTCGCTTAACACTAGACCAACAATCCAGAAGTAAACAATACCCCAATAAAGGAACTACTACGCGCTTGAGAGAAACAAGTTAACGGGAAGCAGCCCAACCAATAAACCACCAAGAACATTCCCAGCAACGCTTAGGGGGTAAGCCACTACATAAACAAGGAGTAAACCCTACTTCCTTCTAGGACTGACGATATTATCTAGTTGGGTTATGAAATGTCTGTAAGAAAACAGCCAAGCTCAAGAGATCACCAAGGACCCCATAGCTCTCCTCCTCCTCCTCCTCTTGTCAGTTTAAGAGACAAGAGGCAAGACTGATAGGACAAGCCATTAATATATAAATGATAAGGTTACCTGGTTGGGTCATGAAACGTCTGCAAGAAATTAACCAAGCATAGAGCACCAAGAGCTACTCCCCTTCTCCTCCTCCTCCTCCTGCCACTTCACAAAACTTCCCCCTTTCTAGCACTAATTATGTTCCCTAGTTGGGGTCATGAAACTTCTGCAACCACCAATCTCAAAGAGCACCAAGGATTCCCCCCTCCTCTTCCTCTTCCTCCCCCCCTCCTCTCAAGCCCCCCTCCCTTCCTGCACTGATACTGTCACCTAGTTTGGTAATGAAAGGTCTGCAAGAAAACCAATCTCATAGAGAACACCAAGGATCCCACACCCCTCCTCCTCCTCCACCTCCTTCAGCACTGATGATGTTACCTAGTTGGGTCGAGAAAACATCAAACTCAGAGAACACCAAGGACTCCACAGTCGTCGTCCTCCTCCTCAAGCCCCACTCCCTTCTTGCCCTGATAATGTTACCTAGTTTGGTCTTGCAAGGAAAACCACCAGGCTCAGAGCACCAAGGATCCCTCAGGTCAACCCTGATCACAATTATTCTCTTCTATTGGCGTGGTGGCTCAGTGGTTAAGACGCTCAGCTTGCCAATCAGAAAATTCGGCGGTTCGAATCCCTAGCGCCACGTAACGGAGTGAGCTCCCGTTACTTCTCCCGGCTTCTGCCAACCTAGCACTTCGAAAGCACGTTAAAAAAAGGCAAGTAGAAAAATAGGGACCGCTTTTTGGTGGGAAGGGAACAGCGTTCCGTGTGCCTTCAGCGTTTAGTCATGCCGGCCACATGACCACGGAGACGTCTTCGGACAGCGCTGGCTCTTCGGCTTTGTCACGGAGATGACCACACCGCCCCCTAGAGCCAGAAATGACTAGCACATACTGTATGTGAAAGGAGGGGAACCGTTAACTTTATTGGCATTTTTAAAACGCATAGACTTCAACTCGCCAGATATTCCGGGAGTTGACGTCCGCTCATCTTAAAAAATGTTTTTAAGGCCGAGCGATGAATCCTAAGGGTTGGATCTAAGGCAGGGTGTTCTCCTGAACCTTGTTTTGTCTCCCGCGTCCAACCAGATTGGAGAGGAGATGAGCCAGAACACCATCATCAAGCAATACCTGGAAAAACAGCAGGAGCTGCTGAGGCAGCGTCTGGAACGGGAAGCTCGGGAGGCCGCTGACCTAGAAAGTAAGTGGAGTTTGCCCCCATGTCCTCCCCCCCCTCCCCCCCTTACCCCATAATTCGGGGGGGGGGGGGGGAACCCAGCTTGTTTTTGAACCAAACGCATCTTCAAGCTTCTTCTGCTTCAAGCTCCCTTCTGAGCTCTGTCCGATGAAGAAGAAATCTCTTCAGCAGCTGAACGTGCAAAAATTGCCTTGCAACAAAACAGACGTTGTGTACCATCGATCGATTGATTTGTATCTCACCTTTTATTATTTTTACAAATAAGGCGGCCAACATATCCAACACACCTTCCTCCTTCCTTTTTCCTCACAACAGCAACCCTGTGAGGTGGGTTGGGCTGCGAGAGAGGGACAGGCCCAAAGACACCCAGCTGGTTTTGTTGCTTAAAGCAGGACTCCCACTCTCCTGGTGGTTGACCCAAAGTCACCCAGCCAGCTTTCATTCCAAGGCAGGACTAGAACTTGGTCTCTTGGCAATTGGGCCAGTTACCCAGCTGGTTTTGATGCCTAAGGCGGGACTAGAACTCCCACTCCCCTGGGGATTGGGTCAAAGTCACCCAGTTGGCTTCCATGCCTAAGGTGGGACTAGAACTCCCACTCTCCTGGTGATTGGGTCAAAGTCACCCAATCGGCTTTCACACCAAGGTGGGACTAGAACCCAAAGTCTCTTTGTGATTGGCCGGCCAGCTTTCATGCCTAAAGAAGAACGAGAATTTATAATCTCCTGTTTTCTAGCCCAGTGCCTTAACCACTAGACCAAACTGGCTCTTCGTTTTTCTTTTCTTTTTCTTTGTCTTGTCTTGCCCTTTTTTCTCTCTTTTCTTTTCTTTTTTCTTTTCTTTTGTTTCCTTTCACCTTCCCTTCCTTTTCTTTCCTTTTTGTCAGATTGGGCTAAGGGAGGGGACTGACCGAAAGGCACTGTGAAAGTCTCTGTGGCTAAGGGAGGTCTGGACCTTGGATCTCCCCAGTGCTAGTACAATACCTTCACCACTACCTATACCTAGATTTAATAATCATTCCTTTAGCATTCCATTCAAAACCATTCCAAGTGAAAAAATGGTCTTCACACTTCCAACCCTTATAGCATCCCCAGGATCACGTGATAAAAATCCGGGCACTCGGCACGTGGTGTTTGTGACTGTTGCAGCACCCCGCCATCCTCTGAGCACCATTTGTGACCTTCCCACTCGACTCCCAATAAGCAAAGTCAACCGGGGAGGGGGGGGGAAGCAAAATATTCCCCTTAACGACTGCGTGGTCCACTTAACTATAGCGGCTTGGTTAACAGCCATGGCAAGAAAGGTTGTAAAATGGGACACAACTCACTTGACAAAACATTCTGGCTTAGAAGCAGACATGCTGGTCTCAACTGGCGTCGTAAGCCGAGGACCGCCTGCCCCAATTCTTCCTTGGAGAGTCCGAAGGATAACGTTCTCACTAGTTGCAAATCCTGTGTTAGCATTAAAACAGCTGATGAGAATCATCCTTAAGCTGAGAGATTATTTATTAAGAAAATGTATGTGAACGCCCAACTCTCTCCGACTCCAGCTTCTCCTTTTGTCTATGTATTCAAAATAGATAGTGATTAACATTTATATGTGTGGGTCTAGGAATATAATATGTATATATGTCTATGTCTGTATATGTGTATATATGTTTACCTCTCTGTCTCTCTCTCTCTCTCTCCCTTTCTCTCTGCCCCCCCTCGTCTCGTGTCTCTCTCTCTCTCCTTCTTCCTCTCTGTCTATTTCTCTCTCTGTGTCTATCTCTATCTCCGTCTCTGTCTCTTTCTTTCTCTCTCTCTCCATTTCTCTCTGCCCCCCCTCTCGTCTCGTGTCTCTCTCTCTCTCTCCCTCTGTCTATTTCTCTCTCTCTGTCTATCTCTATCTCCCATTCTGTCTATCTCTATCTCCCTCTCTGTCTCTCTCTCTCTCTCCGTCTCCCTTTCTCTCTGCCCCCCTCTCTTTCTCTCATCTCGTCTCTC